AGTTGTTATTATCAGAACGTACGGGGATTGCGAACAAAAACATCTGTTTTCTTCAGAAATGTGTGCATACATGGTTACGATGTTATCTGCTTGACGGAGACTTGGCTTGTTGATGGCATTAGTGACAGTGAGTTGTTTGACGATGGGTACGTAGTGTGGAGACGTGACAGAGACTATGTGAGTACTAATCAAACGATGGGTGGAGGTGTTTTGATAGCTATCCGTCGTGCACTGGTGGCAACACTCAGAAGTGAATGGTGTTCGTCCGCGGAGGACATATGGGTGACCATTACATTACAACTCAAGAAACCTAGGATATCATATAAAATACATATAGGTGTTGTGTATATCTGCTCCCAAAATTTAGGCAATTCTTTAACAGAGCAACTCGCTTGCTTTTCGAGCAACTTGATGAACATTGTCCTCGAGAACCCCGCGGATAAATTTCTAGTGTTAGGAGATTTTAACCAACCATACATAGACTGGTTACCTTCGAGCCATAGCACTATGTCACCTCAAAATATTCAAGGCATAAGCCAATTAAATCTTATAGATACTATTACAGTTTGCAATTTGTCACAATATAATCATCTTCGTAATAATAACGGCAGAATATTGGACTGGGTGCTGTCTAACAGCGAAGTCAGAGTCGATCACTGTTGTGATCCTCTAGTTCCTGAGGACCCGCACCACAAAGCCATCTTATTATCTACGAATTTCATGCAACCACATAAACTACCCATAAAGCCTATAGTAAGCTACAACTACCGACAGGCCAACTACACTGCTATTGCTGAGGAGTTGGATGGTTGTGACTGGCATAAAGAGTTACGTGGCGGCTCTCTTGATGACGCTGTACTATTTTTCTACGACATACTAAATAAAGTTAGAGATATCCACGTCCCGCACCGACTCACTGTGACACCTGTAAAATATCCTCCCTGGTATAAAAAACCTTTAATCAAAATTCTTCGAGAAAAAGCTAAATCACACCGGAAATTCAAAAAATATGGTAATCTATCAGATCAATTATCTTTCACTACTTTACGTCAGCGTGCCAAAGACTTAGAGAGGGACATGTTTAACAGCTACATTGCGGGTGTGGAATCAGGAATTACAAAGAATCCGCGGGCATTTTGGCGATATGTCAAGTCTAAAAAACAATCGCATTCTTACCCCTCAATATTTAAATACAAGGAGCAATCGTTTGGGACCGGGGAGGACATATGCAACATATTTTCTGATTACTTTTACTCTAACTTTGTACCCCCCGATCTCCAAGACGCGCATACTAAGCTCGACATGCAGGATTTTGAAACATCTGTAAATATTTATGACGACAGATCGGATATTGCCTCGATTGAAATTCAGAGTTCTGAAGTGTTTAAGTTATTAAAACAGGTCGACCTTAACAAATCCGCAGGACCTGACAATTTCCCACCAATCTTCATACTTAATTGTGCGAAATCTTTAACCCTCCCTATTTCTATCTTGTTCAGACGGTCTTTAACAGAAGGAACTATGCCTGCGATTTGGAAGTCGGCGTATGTAACTCCAATACATAAAAAAGGTCCGAGGGACGAGGTGGAGAACTATAGGCCAATCTCAAAGTTATGTGTGTTCGCTAAAATACTTGAAAAAATTGTATACAAGCAGGTATATTCAGCTGTTAAACTCAATTTTAGCGAGCACCAGCATGGTTTTCTAAATGGTCGCTCCACTACATCAAATCTTATCGTCTGTAGTGACTTCTTGTCAGAGCACATGTCACATCGTTTTCAGGTGGATGTCGTATACACTGACTATCGCAAGTGTTTCGATCGGATAGATCATCTCATACTAAAAAATAAAATGTTGAGAATGGGTATACGTGGTGACTTGTTTAGATGGTTCTCATCATACATTGAAAATAGGAGTCAGATTGTTGTTCTCAATGGTTACTCGTCAACGAGGGCGACAGACATTCCTTCAGGAGTCCCACAAGGATCCTTGTTAGGGCCACTACTTTTTAACATATTTATAAATGACGTCACAACATGTTTTCAGTCATCTAAAATTTTACTATACGCAGACGACATGAAAATACTACATAAAATATGCTCTCCTGACGACACTATTAACTTGCAGGATGATCTCGATCGGTTTCAGGCGTACTGCACTAGAAACAAGTTGGATCTGAACGTATCCAAATGCTACGTCTGTACTTTTACACGTAAGCCTAACCCAGTAACAAGTCAATACACTCTGTCTGGTGCCACGATAGCTAGAGTTAGTTCCGTCAGGGACCTAGGAATAACATTCGACTCCAAATTGTTATTCGATGCACACATTTCTAACGCAATTGATAAGGCAAATAAAGCGTTGGGGTTTGTTTTAAGGGTGTCTAAAGATTTTAAGAACATCAAAACAATAAAAATATTATATTGTTCTTACGTTCGCAGTCACCTTGAATACGCTTCCCAAGTATGGAACCCCAACTATGATACCTACATAAATCGTATAGAAAACGTCCAGAAGAAGTTCCTAAGGTATATTCAACATCATACTGGTACATATTTGCCTGATTATTTCAGCCGCTGCCGAAGGTTTCACTTGCTACCACTGCAGGAACGAAGGAAAATAGCGGACATTTCCTTTCTACATAAAGTATTGAGTGGATTGGCGGACGTATCCGTGCTAGTGAACAAAGTTGGCTTGCGCGTACCTTCTGCATTGTTGAGAAGGCATAATCTTCTCCATACTCCTGCCACTCTGAGCATTTATCGACAGAATTCATTTATGGTCAGGGCTTGTCACACGCTTAATGCAGTTTGTAGGGAGATTGACATAGATCTCTTTAACATCAGTGGGACGAAATTAAAGAGGGTGATGTGTAACCACTTTTTCACACATCGTAACTAGTCGGTTGGATCGGTTCTGGTTTGCCTGTGCTTCCTTGGTTAACAGCATATAAAAAAAAAACTTTTCGTTAATGCTTCTTTTGTTTGTTGTTTTTTTTTTTTATCTTGGTTCATATTGTCATCGATGTAGTTGTTACTGCTTGTCATTATTTTTTTTCTTTCCTTATTGCTTGCTGACATATTGGGTTGAAAAAATGTGAGTGGCTGAAGGTTGTAATTTACTAAGTACTGTCGGCAGGCCACGATATTTTTTTTTTATAAATACTTAGCAAATATATGCGAAAACTTGTAATTGGCCATACTTTAATCATAGTTATATATAATTGTCAATTCTAGCTGTAAGTTTTCTAAATATAAAAATAAAATAAAATAAAAATAGTAAAACTGTGGATATTACATTGTACAGTGGCATTAAGTGCCGTAATGTGCATCTCTGCTTACTCCTTCGGGGAAAAAGGCGTGATGTTATGTTATGTTAAATATGGATATCACTTTTAATGAAGTGTTTATGTTTTGTAATCAAAAACATTTATAATTCCTAATTGGATCTTTATAACACGCCAAGGCTAGAAATAAGAAGACAAACGTTGATTGATTTGATCAGTAATACAACATTAATTAATTATTCAGTGTTAGATGCATCTTCTAACCACATAAATAGATAAAGTTAATAAAATTACGTCAAAATTTATACGGAGACTATACTATCTAAATACACATTTAATACGAGTTAAACTCTGGTTAACCTTTTTTGTGGTAAGACATATAATTTTGTCACTTTAGTACTTATTTCTAAGATCCCTTTAAGGAATTAATTTATACCCTCATCTATTATAATATATCACTGATAGGTACTCATTTACAAATTGAGAACAGGGTTGCAGATAAGTTGTCGTAAGTTGCAATCACATGATTATAATAAAATCGGACTCCAAATAATACGCAACACATCCGAAATGTACGACGATGAATATTGTTTTGAATGCCGTAAATAATATTATGAACTATTTCCACGGATTTAATGAGCGAACTGGCAACGTCGCTGTTATTTTTTTGAGGACGCCAAATACGCGGACTTATAATCAGAAAATCCCAAAAATATACAGCTGTGGATATACGCGCTACAGCAGCGCTCTATCTGCGCTGAGATTTCTTTGGGAACTTTTCAAAATACTATAACAGCCATTGAACCGATCTTTTGGCCTCTGTCGATTTTTAACCTACGTGCAGCCAGGACCAAAAGGACCTAAGTAGCATAGGTCAAAAAAGTGGCGTCCGGTATGCGGACGCCACAAGCAGGTGGACGCCAGATTAAATGCACTTTCGCCTTCATGGGACGTCCAATCGATAGCGGGATGTAAATATATATATATATATATATATATATATATATATATATAACTAGTAACTAATTTTACTGTGATATGGGAACATTTCCTTTTTGTCATCTACTATTGTAATTGTCTGATGTTTCTTTATGTTTTTTAATTTAATTTTAATTGTTTTTTTTTAATGTGATGTTTATTTATGTGTTTCATTTTTTCTTCTTCTTTTTCTGTTATTGTAACCGTATGATTCTCTTTGATTTCTCTTTGTATGTGTGTTAATGTAATTGGTGTAAAGCCGTGTTAACATCACAATCCTTACTAATATTATAAATCTGAAAGTGAGTTTGTTTGTTCCACCTTCACGCCGTGACTACTCAACCGGTTGCTTTGATTTTTTGCAGACGTAACGTTAGAGGTCCGGATTAAATAATAGGGTACTTTTTAACCCGGAAAAAATTGATATTCCCGAGGGAAAACAAAAGTATTGGTATAGATGGCGCTGTGTGTATTGGTATATGTCACATAGGCTACTTTTTATTCTTTTGTGGCGCGAGCGAAGCCGCGGGTAAAAGCTAGTAATAAATAAATAACACTCTAGCCCCGATTTTTTTGAGTGATATGACTGATCCAAGCTGCTAGGTATATTTATATTGCAAAGTAATTTATGATTATTAAGACATTGTATCGGGCAATGTAAATTGTTTAATAAATAAATGAATTACAACCTAGTCACAAATAATAGTTACATTGTACAATGTAACTGTACACTTACTTGAGATGATATCGATATGTCTTCCTGGAACTGAAACTCTTCCCGCACTCCGCGCACTGCGGACGCTCCGGGACCGTCTCCGTCGGGCACTGGGGCTTCGATTCCCCGTTCAGTCTTGTATTCTAGTATAGAAAAGATGTATTTTATTTCTCGTAGAAGCATATCACAAAATCACAATAATATTATAAATGTGTAAGTTTCTTTGTTTAGATGTTTGTCTGTCAATCAGGCTGAAACTTCTGAACGGATTTTGATGAAATTTGGAATACAGGCAGGGTATGGGGTGACTTAGGTGATAAGATACTGTTTATCCCGATGAAATGCTCCCATGGGATAAAACAGGAATCATATTCTACGCGGACGAAGCAGCGGGTAACAGCTACTTTTAATACAAATATAAGATACCTAGCTATACCTTAATACCACGACAAGTTTCATATCATTTCAATAGGGTTTTTTTTTTTTTTTTTTAAGGGGGAAAATCATCGAATGACTGCTCCCGCCTGGGTGAGGCGGAAGGGAGTGTCAGACTCTTACTGACTAAAAACCACCCCGTTCCTTCTCCTGCACGTCGAGCCGGAGCCCCGGTTACCCGTTAGGTTCTCCGCGACTCCGAATCGGCATCGGCCCTATTGGGCCCCATCTGTGGTGGTCTGATGGGTCTTTGAGGCGCGCGCGGAACGCGACGCGCCGTACGCTCGGGTCTGTTTCTGGTCGGACGGGGAGCCACCCATGCTCGCCGTCCGCAGGCCCGCGCTTACGGTGGCCGGAGATCGTCCCGCGATCCCCGACGCCCGGTGTGTCCTTCGCGATGGCTGGGTTGCGAGGAGGCAGCGCTTCGCTGCCTCACGCGTCCCGCCTCCTCCTTAGCCAGCATGACTGCTTCGCAAAAGGAGGAGACGGCATCCCAGTCCCCCTCGCTCCGCATCATGGCCTGAACTAGGCCCGGACGCGAGAGGTCTCCATCGCCGATCACTTCCCTGAGGGCACGGCGGTGCTCAGCCCACGCAGGGCATTCCGCAACAGTGTGTTCCACCGTGTCCTCAGGGTGGTCCTCGCAGTGATGACACCCGGGCGTTTCCTCCCGCCCCATCAGACACAGGTACCTCCCGAAACTTCCATGTCCGGTGAGGACCTGCGTCAGGCGGTAGGTGAGGACGCCGTAGCGTTTCTCAAGCCACTCCTCAAAGAGGGGACTTACCGCTGCAATGGCAGCGAGCCCAATTATTAAAAAAACAAAATACCCGACTGCACACTAAAAAAAGAGTAAAACAAGCCCCACAATAATATTGACCAATCAAATGCTAAAAACTAATTATGTAATACCGTTTAAACAATACCTATATTAAAATACACTACAATATGTGTTCGTAATCGATAGTTAAATAAACAGAAACTTATTTTGAATACAAATTTACTGAATATAATTTATAAATGTTGATGGAAAGCATCGCAGGCGGGGACCAACAGAGGCTTATTTATAGTCATTTCGGTTGTGCACCATTTAGCAGAATTTTCGTTGGTGGCGGTCAAGGTGGTCCCCGCCTGCGATGCTTTCCATCAACATTTATAAATTATATTCAGTAAATTTGTATTCAAAATAAGTTTCTGTTTATTTAACTATCGATTACGAACACATATTGTAGTGTATTTTAATATAGGTATTGTTTAAACGGTATTACATAATTAGTTTTTAGCATTTGATTGATCAATATTATTGTGGGGCTTGTTTTACTCTTTTTTTAGTGTGCAGTCGGGTATTTTGTTTTTTTAATAATAATTTTTTTATTTATAACTTTTTAGCTGTTTTTATTTAACGAAAATGTTGTAGATGTAGAAGACTATCGTCAACGACGTGTGCCCTCATGCGTGTGCCCGCAATCGGGCTGTATACTCGAGCATATCCCCCTCCGCACCGCGCCGCGCGCCGCATGCCAGGCCACGCCCTATCTTTTTGCTTGCTAACGCATGAGTTGCTTTGCGTTGACGCAGAATTAACATGTTCCCGTGGGAATTTTGAGAAAAAACGTATCCTATATTAATTACTCCCGTGATTGAAATGAATCTAATGATACCGCATACATATTTTTTTAAAGGGAAATTTAGAAAAAATATTATTATGTCTTTATCCCGTGGGACTTTTAGGATAAAATGTATCCTATGACACTCCCGTAATCAAGACAAATCTAACGATACCTCATACATCAAAATCCATCAAGCCGTTTAGGCTACAGGTGGTCACAAAGGAAAAGACATACATACATACTTACATACACTCGAAAAACATTACCCTCCTTCTTTGGCAGTCGATTTTAAATTTCAATAGGGTAGATGCCTAATTTTTATTTAATGTCATATATTCATTAGAGATATATAATCAATACACAGGTTTTTTTTTTACAGAAACGAATACTTTCGACCATATATTGATTTGAAATGTCGCGTGACGTCACTTCTATGTAGGTACATTTTATACGTAGAAATGACGTTTTAGCCCCCACTCCTAAACTTTGATTCGTTTTATCTAAGTAATGTTTTATTATACGACAAAATAAAAAAATACGTGTCTAATATTGTTTCATTACCTAACTTACGGACTAATTAGATTTTTAATTTTCATACCCCGTCACCATCCCAATTGAACAGCATTTATGGTCATGCAAACTAAACGTGTACACAAAGTTTCAGCCCAATCGGTTGAACATATCTGCTTCAAAATATACTTGCAAGATTCCACTTCACATTAACACGCATACATACACACAAATACATACATTGCAAATTAAATCAGAGCTAGTAAAGGAGAATATATAACATAAAACATCACGCCTTTTCCCCCGACGGGGTAGGCAGAGGTGTACAATGTAACACCGACTTATACCCGGCATATACCGGGCACAATCTCAGACTCAGTGCTACTACTGAGAATGTTTTAAAAATCCAGTAATACTTTGCCTGACCTGGGAATCGAACCCGAGACACATTGCCAATGAGGCAGTCAAGTAAAAGAGAATAATAAATATTATTACCTCTTCAACAAAAGGAACTTGTTTCTCTCCATCCTCAGTCGTCTGTACATCTCCTTCGTCTTCTAAATCATCTTCTAGAAGATGTGACGAGTCTGCTGCGTCATCCTCTATAGATAACGGGGTCGGTGACCTTTTCTTTTTTAATTTTACTTTCTTTTTGGGCGGTACTTCTGGTTTGGGCTTAATTTTCTTCTTTGATTTGATTTTGTCTTTAATTGGCTGCAGAGAGAACTATTATGATTATTAAAATAAGAATAAATAATACAAATTATGATTAACGGTAGAGTTATTTAAATTTTGAAAAACCGAAACTCTGTTTTGATCCGGGTAATTGGGCCTCCGGTAACGTCACTCACACGACGAAACACAACGCAAGCGTTGCTTCACGTCGGTTTTCTGTTCGGCCGTGGTATTACTCCGGCGAACCGACCCATTTGTGCCGAAGCATAGCTCTCTTACACTTCAGTATGTCAGAATCATGTCATTTGGCGTTCTATTGTATCCCAATGGGGACAGGCGTGATGATTTATGTAGATATGTATGTACCAACCTTACTATCCTTCTTAACGCCCTTCCGTCTCCGAGGCTCTAAGTCATTAACAAAAGTCTCAGGCTCGCAATGAGGCTCCTCAGTCTTTATATCCGGTCCCGTGAGACTCAGTCCCTCGTCTGCTTCAGCTTTTATCACCAGTTCTGGACAACTGAAGCTGTATGTCTCACTAGTTTGAAGAGTTGAGGGGATTGGAGACGGTTGAGTGAAGTTATTCTGGAAATGAAAAAGGTTTTATTCTAGTTTTTTTTTTTTATGGGACAAGCCCGCCACCACCTCCCATAACCGCTGCAACTCCTGTAAGCCAGGGTCTACAGTAGATACAACGATAAACCGGAACACTGAGAACTGAGGTCCGTCGTCTCCCAGTAACACGAAATAAATTAGAAGATAGAGAAGAAAAATAACAGCTATTATCTCTTCCTACCTGTGAAGGAGTCTCCCCTTACTGACTAAAAACACTAAGAATCCCGGCAGAGGGAGCTTGCATCGCCGCGACAGTCGCCGCGTCACGGGTTGCGCAATGCTACTCATGAATATGAGCCTCTAGCATGGCTTCAAACTAGTCGAGTTCCTCGTCAAACAGTTATATGAGTAGGTCGAAAACATAATAATCAAAAGACCACTCAATTCCAATACCTAGTCCGAGCTTGGCCTAAGTAGGCTGTACCAATAAAGGTCACCTATCCCAGTGGATAGCACCCAACAATGTATATATTTTTTTTAAACTAAGATGAGACTCATGTTTGCCCACTATCTCGCCGGTGGTAAGCGATGATGCGGTTTTTTTAAGGGGGAAAAATCATTGAATGACTTCTCCTGCCTGAGTGAGGCGGGCGGGAGTGTCAGAATCTAACTGACTAAAAACCACCCCGTTCCTTCTCCTGCACATCGAGCCGGAGCCCTGGTAACCCGCGTTAGGTCTCCGCGACAAACATTTTATCCCCTTAGTGGTAAGATGTTCAAAAATTCCAGAAACTATTCAACTTACCTGATGCACATAATGTAATTGTGTGTATGAATGTTTGGCTTTCTCCTTGAAGTGGTGCCATCGTCGGAGCCGAGCCACGCACTCCCAGCATACCTTCAGGTAGAATGACGAGGCATCATACACCTGGAGACCAGAACAGAATTATATTAATCACTAGCGACCCGCCCGGCTTCGCACGGATGCAATTAGAAACCTCTAAATTTAACAGTGTTCTTTTACTGTATTATACATATAAACCTTCCTGAAGAATGACTCTATCTATTAAATAAACCACATCAAAATCCGTTGTGTAGTTTTAAAGATCTAAGCATACATAGGGACAGACAGATGGTGGATAGCGATTTTGTTTTATACTATGTAGTGATTACTATCAACAACAGGTGGTAGTGCTATTGCTGGCCTATTGAGCCTCTACATAAGAGGGTTTGTCACAATCTCCGCAGGCAGGCGGGTTGGAGATCACAGTATAAAAGGTTCAGTTTTATCAGAGAGCGCTGCTGCACGGTCTCTGTCTAATTTTATGTGATTATATTAAGTTATTTTTAATCTAGGTTAATACTTTTATTGTAATAACAATACAATTTGAAACTGAAAATCATTGTGAGTAAAATATTTTAATATTTCAAAATTAGTATTGCATATTAACAATTTTATGAGTACTAGGAACCTCTGTATGACTCTGACTGCAATTTAATACAAGTATTAATAAATTCGAGGCTGACAACTAAAATTATTATCGACTTTAGTCGTCTTTCGTTAACTCTATGCTACTCTCTATTAGGCACGTTTTTCAGCATTTTAAAAGCTAACTACTATAAAGGAAATCCTAATTAACATTTTTCAATAAAAATATACATTAACTTACCTGGATTTCATTTAAAATTTGTGAATATAAGTGATAGAAACCAGTATCGCCGATGCAAAATAGATTTCGTCCAGCGCACAAACATGCCGTGCATAATTCACCCATATTTATATTTTATACAGCTTCTACATATAGTATATAGCGCTCCATGGGATTATAATACGTGATTTATTTAAAAATTCATTCTAATCGATTGTTTTTTATTTACGACAAAGTACTTTAGCGTCTCTGTATGAGTTTGACAGCGATTTGATGCTACAACAAAATTGACAGATGTCAATACAATCCGTGAAAGCTTTTTTAACCATAGTGCATAAGCTTACTTTCTGAATCTTATTAAGTCAATAATGAATAAAAAAATCTATGTATAATGCAATCTGGTCTACTTAAGTGACTTAAATACACAATGAAATTAAACTATCAATTAAAATTTTTACTTCGTTGAGAATTTCATAAATAAGTAAATTAGTACTGGCGTTTGGCGCCACAGAGTAAACTCAAGAGTCCCTTATTTGTCATGCTCTCACGGTTGCTAGGCAAAGGACATCTTATTATGACAAAATGAACAACATAAAATAACGTTTTTTTTTATAAAAAACTACTTTGCAAGAGTTCTTTTCAATGGGCCTATTACTATACTGTGCAAACATAATTGGTGCTTTGTATGCATCTTATATGTGTTTCCATCTGAACTACGTGTACTATGATAAATAAAAATTAAAAAGGATTGTGAGAAGATTATTTTTTATTGATTTATGTAGCATACATTAAATTTATAGACAGTGAGATAGTGGTCTAATGTCACACATAACACATAACGTAACATCACGCCTTTTATCTTCGATGGGGTAGGCAGAGGTGCACATTATACCACTGTACAATGTAACACCCACTTTTCACTATTTATGTTATGAGTCCCATGTAATAGGGGGTGAGCCTATTGCCATATACCGGGCACAGTTCCAGACTCCGTGCTACTACTGAGAATTTTTTAAAAACCCAGTAATACTTTGCCCGACCCGGGAATCGAACCCGAGACCCCTTACCCGGCAGTCGCAATTGCGACCACTCGGCCAACGAGGCAGTTTAACGTCAGTGGCGTTTAATATAAAAAAAAATTAAACGCTACTTAATTTTAATTTGTACGAAAATATCTTGCCCTCTCTATCATTTTACAAACTATTTGTAGTGAAAGAACTAGACATGCGACTTTTGAGTGGTGTTTGAGTAGGTATTTGGTCTACGTTTTACATGAAAGTTTCGGCTCTACACAAAAATAAACCAAGAAAAAACTTTTCACAGTGTTATTTTCAGACCGAAAACTCCTCTACGATAATTTTTTTACAAACTACGTTTGAAAAAACCGACTTCAGTTAATACTTTAACTGCCAAGTTTAAAATGGTGAAAGTCAAACCTCCACTAGCGTCAGGCACCGGTGACTGACGTGGCGCTCTAAGGGTTAAACAATATAGTAAAACCTTTTCGTAAGTGTAACAAACACTTTTCTGAAAACCGTATCAACATCAGCTCAGACAATTGCGAGATAATCCCGTACAAACATACAAACTCAGAACCTCCTTTTTTGGAGTCAGTTAAAAAGAAGACGATCAAAAGCATTTTTTGAGATGATTTGAGCAAAGGCTTAATATAATAAGTCATAATGTAGACCTTTGTATCATACCGAATATCCCCAAAATTTGTTCATACAAAAGTAGTCTCTAAACATCTGAATTAAGGTCTATAATGTAGTCAATAGAGAGCGATCACCGGAGACCGCTTGGGGTTTACGTGAGCATTCACGAAGAACTAAATAAAAAAGTTGATTATACTATTATTTTTTTAAACAAACGTTGCCCCTCTCTATGATTCTCTCCTGTGTCGTGGGTGCGTTTACAAACATACAAGTTTACATACACATGACACACAGACCCGGAAAAACACAATATACAATAGCAAAATCGAACAAGTATGTTTTTTTATCTTTATTTAATAAGAAGGGCTTTTTTCCTTGGAGGAAAACGTTAGACCTATTATAGAATACGAAATTCAGTACAAAAAATAAAGCAGCTAAACCGTTTATAGGTTCAACTAGCCCTTAAACTTAAACGTATAATAATTAAATGATACAATTTCCTAGCCTCAGATGACAAAATTGTAACAATACACATACATTACACATCGTTGTTGCGCAACTTGAAACTGGATACACACACCTATAACAATGAATGTGGCCGAGTGTCTAGTTTCACACATACACGTTGCGCAATATCTACTGCACAATCGGTAAAAATATCAGTTTTAGAATCGTTTTGCAATATATTTTAATTACAGAAAATATACATTAAGTAATAGTCCAGTCCCTTTTTTTATTGGCATAAGCCGGTAAATGTGTAGACAGATCACCTGATGGTAAGCAATCGGCGCCGCTCACGGACACCTGGAACACCAGAGGCGTTACAAGTGCGTTACCGGCCTTTTGGGGATTAGGAGTTTGAGGATCGTTGGGGATTCAGGATTGGGAAAGGGGAGGGTAATTGGGCCTCCGATAACCTCACTCACACGACGAAACACAACGCAAGCGTTGCTTCACGTCGGTTTTCTGCTCGGCCGTGGTACCACTCTGGTCGAGCTGACCCATTCGTGCCGAAGCATGGCTCTCCCACACTTATTACAGATTACAAATTACAATTACAGAAAATATACATTAAGTAGATATAGTCCCGTCCATACAGTAGACGGGAAGAAACCGTGAGGCCGGAGTCCCACACGGTGGTCTGACCAAATATCCAAGGAGTTAAAGATACGAAGATAGAACGAGATAAGTGGCGACATCTAGTGAACAAAATCAGAGGGAGTCACGATCCTCAGCAGTGAGGAAATCGACTAGGAAGAAGATATAGTCCACCATTGCTCCGCCAAACTGATTCCTTTAGCATATCGTCCGTGTTGTTGATAGAAAGAGTCCCAAAATGTCATCCTGGCTTTGTAAGGTGCGTTCACAATGGACAGTTGTTTGTCTATCTGCAGGTAGCTGTCTGTAGTGGCGGTGAGTGGAGGCCATGTGATCGGCAGCTCGTGTGAAGTCGGCAGCGGTGTCGGGTTTCTGGAAGTACAAGATAATAGAATGGTTATAATACAGAATTCGGCTAGTATCGGTAGTAGCGTAATGTTCATACATAGATAACTACACGCCTGTCTCCGATAGGGGTAGGCAGAGAATATTTTGACCTATTTGACCTATTTATTTTTAAACGTATAGGAGAGCCATGCTTCGGCACGAATGGGCCGGCTCGAGTGATACCACGGCCTCACAGAAAACCGACGTGAAACAACGCTTGCGTTGTGTTTCGTCGTGTGAGTGAGGTTACCGGAGGCCCAATTACCCCCTCTCTAGTCCCCGTCTCCCAAATCCTCAAATTCCCAATTCCCAAAAGGCCGGTAACGCACTTGTAACGCCTTGGTGTTTCGAGTGTCCATGGGCGGCACCGATTGCTTACCATTAGGTGATCCGTCCGCGCATTTACCTACCGGCTTATGCTATAAAAAAAATCTTTATTTTTAAACGAATAGTTCCATCAATGGGAAAATTATTAATAGGGTTTTTCTAACTCAATTCTATGATTTTATTATTCTACATACTTGTGTTACCGCGTCGGTTGGGCGGTTGTAGGTATGGGTACTGGTACCGCGTAATGAGTCCATTTTCGGTTCGAATAAAACATTACCAAGCTCATCTGCATTGAAAAGTTCTCCGTTGTGACACGGATTATGGAGCCACCCAGTATCTGGCAATAGGCTCGCCTCCCTATTAGGTTCATGACAATTATAAAATAACTGCTGAAATATGAATGTTTAATGTTTCTACCACAATCGGGCCTGCTGACGGTGAGCACGGGTAGCTCGCCGTTTGACCATAACCAGACCCGAGCGCAAGGCGCGTCGCGTTCCGTTCAGACCACCACAAATGGGGTTGCCGGGGCTCCGACTCGAAGAGCAGGAGTAGGAACGCGGTGGTTTTTAGTCTGTAATGTTCTGATACTGCCTCTCGCTTGGCGAGGCAGGCGCGAGAAGCCATTTACAATCTACCATTCTACACCATTGATACCTAATTCAAGGAAGGATTTCCAGATACATACCCATATTTAGCAAAATTTGTCCACATCAGACAGATCCAGTCGACGACATGTAAATCAGTGATTTTGTTAGAAGACATGATGTCGAATAGATACCCCAACTCGTCCCCATGTGTAGCGCCCGGCCACGTGATGTGTTCGCGTTTCTTCACGAAGTTTCTATCACCATCGTATTTGAAAACGTATCTATACACTGTGGCATTATTCTGTAAGTAATACCTAATGCTCCTCTCCGTTGGGTAATTAAACGACAAATCTGAACCAAAATCTATAGTCAAATCCTTTAATTTATCCTCGTTTGTTTGTTTTAAGTCATAGTTTTCTTTAATCACATCGATATTTTTTTCATTTACCACTGATTCGGTAAAAGCTCTGTCCAGTTCCGTTATGAAATCGAAACTTTCGAACGATGTCACATCCCTATAGAAGAATAGCATTTCTTTATCTGTGGCGCCGAGCATTATTTTTATATTTTGTTTGTTTTTCCTTGGTGGTACACTTGTTATAAAGTTTCCATCGATGCAGGGACGGAAAGTATAATGTTTTGTATTATTTATGTAAGTGTCCACGTTTATAGACGACACTTTTTTAATGAAACGGTCAACATCGATATTCTCGTCAGACATACCGATGTCTTTGGCATACGTTTTATAAGGCGTGCCGTCATTTATGAGCGTAGTCGCAGCTTGTCCGCTCTGTAATATAACTTTATTAAACAAATCCTCGTTGTTATACAATAAGTGTATATCGGCGGACATAGAGCCGGCGCTGTGACCGAACAAGACTACATTATTGGCATCACCGGCGAATTTTCCAATGTTTCGTTTAACCCATTTCAGAGCTAGCACCTGGTCTTTTAGCCCTTGGTTATTGTACTTAGTGTTTGGTATGCAGAGGTTGCCGTATGGGCCCAGTCTATAATTCACAGTGACTAGGATTATATTGCGTTTGACAAGGAAGTCAGGAGTCCAATCTTTACGTGATCCACTGCCTTCATAAAATCCTCCTCCGTGTAAGAATACCATGACGGGTAGTGGTTGTCCAGGGTGGGCATTCTGTGGCGTGTATACGTTGACTCTTAAGCACTGGATGCTGCCTTTTATTCCACCCGAGTATTGAGGACATATTACTGAGTCGTCGTATGCAACGAACGGTTCGTCGAAGTGCGGGTACGGATGGGCGTCCTGAAAATAAAGTTGGTGTTTAATAAACACACACAAATCCAGTGTGTACAAGCCATTTTCATTATATTTTTGTTTGTTTGCATTTTTAACTGTCGAGTGTTATTGCCACATCGGCCTAATTAATATGTACATTTTTACAAGCGCATGTTGGACAGTGCATTAAAAGCATTCAACCTGTATGGACGTATAATTTATTTGACAAACTCTCTCTAATTAATCTTCCCGTGACATTCTATTGACATTCCTCTTGTGTGAGCTATTGCAGGCTCGCACAGTTTGGTCCTTCGAGCCGGATATATGACTTTTCGTCGCGTTTTATACAAAAGCCAGAAAGTCATTTTATCAGTGACAGTGAATTACAGTGCATTCAATCGTGCCACGTGACAATTGGACAGTGACAATCATTTTTTTTTGCGTTGCAAATAGTGTGGCCAGTGGGAAACTAACCCGCTTTTCTGAGACAACTTGTGACAATCTGTGTAAAGTGACATTACGTTCAACACGAGCCCCTGCATTACACGAGTGACAAGTGATCATTAGCTACAAGGAACAACGTCGTCTGGTGCCAACAGCGTACTGTGCAGAATACAGCTTGGCGCAACTTTCCGCAAGTAGAGGTGACGTAAGTGACAGCTGCATCCAGGTAAGACTGTTCCGTTATATTAGACTCTGGACCTTTTGACGAAACATGGAGGCTCTATTTAATAACCAGCAGGCGCTCATCAAAAGTCTTGAACGTGAAAATATTAACTTTAAAAAGGATCCATCCAGTAGGAAGACTACTGAATACCTTATTAAGAAATTAGAGAGATTGGATAAATTGTGGGAAGATTTCCAATTTAATCATGATCAGTTATTGACATTTAAAGACGAGTCCCATGAATATTTCGTGAGGAATCTGTATGAGCAAACTCTGAAGTACTACGAGGGAATAAGACTCAATGTGGCGACATTTAAGATGCCAAAACCGTCCGAAATTAAGGAATCTGATGAAGATGCACCCGAATCTTCTAAATTGAGTAGCCTAATCAGCCAACAGCGAACGAATTTTAAAGCCCTTAGTAGGCAAGTTCAGTTCTGTGATGTAGAGGGAATAGAAGAGAAATGGGAATTAGAAGATGAACTTCGTAGCCTACAAACACGTTGGGAATTTATTGACAAATTGCATTGGAAAATTGACAACTTACTGGAGGAGCCAGACCTGGCGTATGAAGATGAGTACAACGAGCATGAGATGAAATACAGAGAGATCAAGAGAAGTCTCAATCGGAAATTATCATCTACTGCGCACCTTAAAGATTCTACACCTAAAATGAACATCCCTATATTTTCAGGAAATTATACTGATTGGCCGACATTCTTAGATCTATACAAAGAGACTATTCATCATAATCATACACTGACTAAATCCCAAAAGATGCAACATTTAAAAAGTAAGTTGAAAGGTGAAGCTGAAAGACTCATTCAACATCTCCATATCTCGACAGATAATTATGATACCGCATGGGATATTTTATGTCAACGATATAACAACAAACAACTACTATTCACTAAACAAATCGAAGTTTTTCTGAATCAACCAACTGTTCAAAAACAAACAGCATTCGAGATAAAGAAATTGCATGATGTAAGCAAAGAATGCTTGCACGCCATCCAAAATCTAGGAGTGGAAATGACAACTTGGGGTCCACTGTTAGTACACCTGTTAACGAAGAAACTTGACAGTGAAACTTATCAAGATTATCAAGAACAAAGAAAAAATCCGCGTGAGTTAGCAAAAATAGAAGAGTTCCTCTCATTTTTAGAACTCAAGTTTACTGCATTAGAACCTATTCGCAAAAGAGAAGACTTGGTGCATAAGTACCGAAAACACGTGACACCGTCTGACAAAAGTGACAAAAGAGATCAAAATGCATCTCATAAACATAATTTTTCCAGGGCATATTATACCAATTATAAACGTGACAAATGTCCATTCTGCAATATTGATCACGCGCTGTATCAATCAATGCCACAAGTTTGCAAGTATGCCACCGGAAACCAAACTAAATTCCATTTCACAATATGATATTTGCAAAAATTGTCTTTATCGACATGAAAAAGGAATCTGCAATTCCAACAAACGCTGCAAAATTTGTAATAAACAGCATAATACGCTGCTACATGACGCTTTTAGTGAAACATTGATGCCATCAACCTCGGTTTCGTCATCCCGCCCCGTAAACAAAAATGCAAATCACGTTGACAATGAGAATGACGAAATATTATTAACAACAGTAAAAATTAAGGTAAAGGCCTCAGATGGTACCTACATAACCTTCCGCGCACTCTTGGATCAAGGGTCACAGATCACCCTTATCACAGAGAATGCAGCGCAACGATTGGGTCTTCGCCGTCAACACATTAATGCATCGGTTTGTGGTGTAGGCGTCACCCCTAAAAAAGGCAAGGGCATGTTGGTACTTGAGTGTAAATCTATCTATGATGAATACGAATTTGAAACAGAAGCTCTCATAATGACAAAAGTTATTAACAATCTCCCCAATGCATCATTTACGAAGAAAAACTATCCTCATATACAAAACCTTCAATTAGCGGATCCCGAATATTACATTTCAGGTCCTATTGACATTCTACTCGACGTGAAAGTCTACTCTGAGATAATTATGAGTGGATTATTACGAGGATCAACCCAAGAACCTATAGCGCAACAGACAAGAATTGGGTGGATTTTATCCGGAAATACACGTCTGACAAGCTTCAACTGTCATGTTGTTGTGAACAATAATGAGGATATGTCAAGATTTTGGGAGATGGAGGAGGTGATGGAGAAGAATGCATTAACTGATAGAGAGCAGTGGTGCGAAGATTTCTATACGTCAACCACAAGAAGATTACCAAATGGAAAATATGAAGTGCGCTATCCGATGATAGAAAATTTTGAACAGCATCTCGGATCATCCAAAGCAAAGGCCGTTGCTCAGTTAAACCATTTAGACACTAGGTTACAAAAGAATGTGAAATTGCACGAAGACTACTATAAGTTTATCAACGAGTATATAGCCCTAGGACACATGAAGAAATGCGTGGAGAAAAGGGAACCTCATTGCTTTTTACCCCACCATGACATACACAAAGAAGACTCCACGACAACGAAATTACGTGTGGTTTTTAATGCCTCATCCAAAACAAAGTCAGGTTATAGTTTGAATGATTTGATGGAATGTGGCCCGAAATTACATAATGATATCCAAGGACTATTGATCAACTGGCGAACCTTCAGATATGTGTACGTTGCTGACTGTGAGAAAATGTACAGAATGATCGCAGTTCATGAAAATGACCAACATCTCCAAAAAATTGTCTGGAAAAATGGCAAATGTTTAGAAGAATATCAGCTATGCACATTAACATACGGCACTAAGGCAGCACCTTTTTTAGCCTTAAGAACATTAAAGCAAATAGCTGAAGACGAGAAAGACAAATACCCGTTAGCCGCAAACATTGTGCTGAAAAATGTTTACGTGGATGATTTATTGGCAGGAAATAATAATATTGACATTGCAAAACAAACGCAAATGGAGTTGATTGATATGTTAAAAGGAGCAGGAATAAATCTGCGTAAATGGTCTAGTAACACGCCTGAGCTACTTAGTCATTTACATTCAGATCAATTGAGTATGACTAACATCGATTTCAAATGTGCACACTCAACTAAAACCCTAGGACTTAAATGGGATCCAACGTCGGATTCATTCACATTTGACAACAAAATAAATTACACTACAAATGACAAATACACCAAGCGGATGATGCTATCCGATATGTCTAAGTTATTTGATCCACTTGGTTGGCTCGCACCTATTACAATCAAATTGAAGATTTTATTTCAGCAACTTTGGTCTACGGGAATAGCATGGGATGATGAGATTCCCGCGAACATAAAACAAGAGTGGAGTAAATTACGGAATGATTTAAGGAAGATAGAGAAGTTTGAAATACCTAGATGGATAGGAAATACAGAAAAATCTATCCAGCTGCATGGATTTTCTGACGCTTCGGAGAAGGCCATGGCTTGTGCGGTGTATACTAGGACAATGGATGACAAGGGTAAAATATTTCTGAGATTACTGGCTGCAAAAACAAAACTTGCACCAGTCAAAAAGCCCTTAACGCTCCCCCGTTTAGAGCTTTGCGCTGCAGTTTTATTGACAAAGTTATTAAACAAGATAAAAGTATCGTTGCCAGAAAATATGACAGTCGACGTTTGTGGATGGACAGATTCCATGGTAGTATTGGGATGGCTACAAGGTGATCCGTCGAGGTGGAAAACGTATGTCGCAAATCGTGTTCGGGAAATAATTAATATTCTACCTGCTTCTCGTTGGCGACATGTCAAATCGGAGGAAAATGCAGCAGATTGCGCTACCAGGGGATTACACCCATCGCAAGTATTATATAACCAACTGTGGTGGGAAGGACCGTCCTGGCTGAAGAATGAGAAAGAGATCTGTGCTGAAGTACCACCAATTGAGCCACCCAATATTGAAGTTAAAAATGCTAAATCAGTATGTACACTGCAATTAATTACGCCGTCTATTATAATTGAATTATTAAATAAATGTAGTAATTTGACACGAGGAGTGAGGATCATGTGTTGGATATCACGATTCATACAGCACACGCGACGTAACAATAATAAACCATGTGCGCACTTAAGTGCAAGTGAAATGAGATCAGCCTTACACAGCATAATTAAAGCTGTACAAGTCCAACACTTTAGCGAAGCTATAAATAGTATTCTAAAGGGTAAATCTATCTCCTCTAAAAGCACGCTGTTG